ATGCGCCAGTTTTTGGCAAAAAAAATAAACCCCAGCATGCCTGTCTTGCCCCACGCACCTGACTCATCTACCCTTGCTCCATGCAACTTCATTTTGTTTCTGTGAATAAAGATGGGTGTGAAAGCACAGCGATTTGATGACAAACAAACAGATGAGTTTGAAAAACATTTCCAAGAATGGAGTCGCAGACTTCCCAAATGCACTAAGTGTAATGGAGAGTACTTTGCAGGTGATAAATAAGGTTGTTTTGTAAAAATAAATAAATAAATACATATCTTTGGGGGAGACAATAAATAAATTCCCTTTTGGGGGGGTATCCCCGTGTTTAAAGTACTTTCAGGGCTCATCAAAATCTAGAATATAACTCTTTCACAGTATCATACTTATAACATGAATGATATGGAGAAATTTATTTAATAGTAATATTAATAAAGGCAACATAATAAAGATACATAGTAAATGTCATGACAGTTCAGATACCGAAGAAAAAATAGTTTATAGGGTATAATATTTTTCAATCAACTAGAAAATAATATAAGCTTTGCTTAAAAAATGTATGACTTTGAAAATTTTACGTAAACTCATTAACCAAAATGTTTGTTGGCAGTTCACTTCCACCCAGAGGAATCTTGAACTGTGTAACTGGCGATATACTTAAAAAAAAATCAGCTATTGAAAATCCTGTGGAGTAAAATCCTATTTTAATCCATATGAGTCAAAATGACTTGATGTCAACTGGCTTGTGTGTTTGATTAAATATTACCTTCACAGATTTGTAATTTAGAGCAAGTATTTACTCAACATCTATCTCTTCTGTTGCTCATCGTGTTACTTTAGTTTACGTGCATTCTACAAAAATAGATCAACAGTTCTTGAGGTCATCTCATCATAAAAAGAACTTAATATTTACTATTTATACACATGCATTCCTCTCTATATACACTCATTTATATCTCTATATACTTGCTTCTGTATTTTAATACTTTTTATCTGTACACCCATTTCTATATATACTTATTTATATGTGTCAACTTCAGTTGACTTCATGCCTGAGCTGCTTACACACGCACACATTGTTGCTATTGGTCGCTGTTGAGTCTTTTATGATTCATGGTGACACCATGCGTGCATAGTAGAACTATTCCACGAGGTTAGCTTTCAAAAGTACATTTTCATGCTTGTCATCCAAGACACTTCTGGTAGTTTCAAAGCTCAGTTTGTGGTCAAACTCTTAACAATTCACTCCACCCAGGGACATATATATATATATATATATGTATATATTTTAACATGGCACCTGACAGAAAGCAGGTGGTCAGTGAAAGCAGTATCTTCTGTTATTATTTTTCTTCCTTAGTTTCTTTAGCCTGTGACAACCATTGACCCTTACGATATCTTCCCACTATCTCAAATATGACATTCTACCTCTTGCATCTGAAGGACAGCACGAGTAGAAGAAAGATAAAGGGAATTTAAAACCAGCAACTCAGAGGGGAGCTGGAACGCTGGAATCAGGTGCTGGGTGAACATAATAAAGATGTTCAAAGCATGAAGGTGACCTTCAAGGAACAGCTGTAAGAAAGAGATTAATTGTCAGGTTATCAGAAGAGAAAAGAAATGGTTGCAGATAGAAAACCAAGGAAACTGCTCTATGAAGTTTTTCTAAAAGCATGTATTTGTTTGTTTTGGTTTTTTTTTATAGCAGAATTTAACCTTCATTTTGTGGAAACAATCATTTCTACAAATGTGCGTAATAAAAATTGCAGCCAAGGGAAGCATCATCATTTTGAAATAACTGCAATTCAAGTAGATTTTAGTGTCTTGGTTTCAGACATTTGAAATTCGGTGTCAGCTGAAAATTATGCCATTCATCAGAGCTTCAATTCCTGTCAAATGACTGTTTGTCTGAAGAAATGGATACAGGAAATCATTCTGTAACTGAGTTCATTCTTCAGGGGTTAACGGATGAGCCAGTGCTGCAACTTCCCCTCTTCTTCCTGTTCCTCTTCATCTACTTGGCCTCCATGGTAGGAAACTTGGGGTTAGTTTTTTTAATTAGAATCAGTTCTCAGCTTCACACCCCCATGTATTATTTTCTCAGTAACTTATCCTTCGTAGATCTCTGCTTCTCTTCTGTCATAATTCCCAAGATGTTGGTGAACTTCGTGTCAGAAAAGAATTTTACCACTTTTCCGGAGTGCATGACTCAGCTCTTTTTCTTCTGCTTCTTTGGTATCGATGACTCTTACATGTTGACAGTTATGGCATATGATCGTTATGTTGCCATCTGTAACCCTTTGCTGTACAATGTCACCATGTCCCACAGAGTCTGTTTTCTGCTTGTCACTGGTGTGTACATAGTGGGAATTGTGGGAGCTTTGGTTCACACCAGCTACATATCTGGTCGATTTTTCTGTGGAACAAACATCATCCACCATTACTTCTGTGACATTCTTCCCCTTTTAAGCATCTCTTGCTCAAGAGACTACACCAAAGAGCTTTTGGTGATGGTTTTAGTTTCATTCAATGTATTTGCGTGTGCTATAGCCATCTTAATCTCATATGCCTTCATTGTTTTCAGTATCCTGCGTATCCACTCAGCTGAAGGCAGGTCCAGAGCCTTCAGTACCTGCAGCTCCCACCTTTCAGCCGTTGGGGTCTTTTACGGCTCTATCATCTTTATGTATTTCAAACCATCATCTGTCAGTGACACAACCCAGGAGAAGGTGGCCTCTGTATTTTATACTACAGTGATTCCCATGCTTAATCCCTTGATTTATAGCCTTAGAAACAAGGATGTCAAAGAAGCACTAAAAAAAGTTGTGAATGGTGGGGTATTCTCTAGGTTTGTTTAAAAATAGCACTATTAATAAATACTTTTATCTTGTCTTTTGTTTATGGTTATTTATGAGTGACTAATTAGTTTCAAGACGATTCATAATTATAAACTTCAATATGTATACTATTATTTTCATCATAAAAACAAAAACCAAAAAATTCAAACTCATTGCCATCCAGTTGATGGGGACACATAGTCACCTGATAGGACAAGGTAGAACTAGACTCGTGTTGCCAACTGTGACTCCGGAGGAGTAGAAAGCTCCTTATTTCTCTCTAGGAGTGGCCTGCTAGTTTCGAACTGCTGACCTTGCAATAAGCAGTCCAATGCATAACTACTATGCTACCAGAGATCCTCATCATTTCCTTATGTAGTCTTCTAATTTCCAACACACAATCTCTTTCATTGTCCTTGGTTCTGAATCACTTCTAGAATAGTCTGCCTACTTCCTAGTTTCCCCCTTTCTTTCACAGGAGCCAAATCTTATGTCTTTTATCTTTCTTTTCTTTTTCTGTTTGTTTCTTTACTTCTTCTTTCCCCCCTCTATAGCACTTCCTTTGTGTAGTTAACTTTAAATGAAAATCCTTGATCAAATATTGATTAAAATGTTAAAAAATAATAGTGAGTGAATATGTAGATCTTGTCAGAGATATTTGTATTTCAATATAAAATAGGGTTCTGGAATTAGTGATTAATAATTAAAAATGAAATTCAACTCAATTGTAGTAGACAACCCCTCCCAATATTTCATAAGATATCCAGGCATTGTACTAACTACTAAAGATCGGATCTGCCGTGTGCAGGTATGAAATGGAGTTCAGACTGAGGTATTCGCTAACAGAAAGAGGCAAATATACATATATTTTTGGAAGAGGTTTTTTTTTTTTTTACTTTAGGAAGATATCGATGTCAATTGCTACAAAAAGGTAGAAACAAAATGGAGAACACAGTTTAAAAAGGAAATGGCTGAGAAAAATGGAAGAAAAACCTTGGAATTTGACATCAACAAATATAACTCCAAAAGAGAAGGTCAACAGCCTATGCTAGAAATGAAGTCTTCTTTTCTAGCTCATTGTGCAGCCAATCGATTAGCTTCTTCATTGCTGTTGATGCCTCGATGGCCAGGAACACACTGCCACTGAATCTCCATGCCTTGGGGAGCTTGATCCATTTTCTCAAAGTCTCTTCCACTGACATCGCTTCCAGAAGTTATTTTCTATCCATTTTGTTTCCAGTTACCAACTCATTCTGTCACACCTATGATGACAAACGTGCGATCGGTTTTAATGATGAGTTTATCCATCTCACGACTTCTTGCTTGTTCAATTGCTTTGTAAGCTGCCCTCAGTCCTGCTGTTCGAGTGGTCTGTTGCCCAGAAACCCTCTCACATTCCTCTGTCCCGTCCTTGTAGGTCCCTGAATCTCACGTTCGATTTTCCACCAAGGTCAACAACCTCTATAGTCCCTGTGGTTTCAATTGCAAAATAATTTTTGGTGCATATTGTAATTTTTATTTGACATACTTTCCAAGTGGTTGCATCTCTTGCCAAATATTACCTCTTGTAAATGGATTTTCAAGACTTCTTCCCACAGAAAAATGTTCTTGTCTGTTACTTATACTTTGTTGACCTTTAGTGCATCATTAAAATAAATTTATTCATTGAATAAGTCATTATTGGGAAATTGTGTGCCAGGAACTGCTCAAGATGTTCTGAATGTAGTAATGGAGGAAACAAGACAAACATCTCTTGGCTCAAAGGTAGTAAATAGTGAATAAATGAACAAGAAAAAATGAGAGGAATTCAAAAAGTTCATGTTAAAATCCATTATCTTCTTGAAGACTCACAGTATTTTAAAATAAAATCTCCAGGGCCTATAAAGCTCATTAGTGGTAGGGGCCTCAGTGGGACAGTTCTGTAAGCACTGCTCCTCTAGTCACAAGATTGGTGGTTCAAGCCCACTAGCTGCTACTCAGGAGAAAACGGAAGCCATCTCATTCTGTAAGGATTTAGTAGGAGTCAGAATTGACTGATAGAAGTGGGTGTTTCTATATAGCCAATGATTGTAAGCATTATAAAATAAACTAATCCAGGAAGGAGCCTGGAATCCTGGTGCAACAGAGGTTTGTCACTAACTCTGGAATATTAGTCATATAGAAATCAAGCAGAGAGGCCAGAAGGAGGGGGATAGGTGATGATATTAGAAGGATCATTGGGTGAGGTTTTATAGTCTTCCTTTTGGAAAAATATAACATCTTTTTTTACAGTAAATGAAAAACGACACCAGTGGATAGCGTGGATAGTAGAGTGACCTGATCTTATTTATGTGTAACACAATAAAAACAATGAAATTCAGGCATTAAAACTATACCTATTGCCAAATGACATTTGGTTTCTAAATACCATTCTCCTCTAAAGGAAGCTAGAACATCCTAGGAAAATGGTAGATTCCAAGGTGGAATATGAAAATTCAAGGTGAGCATTGTTGTTGTTGTTAGGTGCTATTGAGTTGGCTTCAACCCGTAATAAGTGTTTGTACAACAGAATCAAACATTGCACGTCCTGTGCCACCCTCACGATGATTTCTAGGTCTGAGCCCAGTGATGCAGTCACTGTGTCAATCCATCTCCTTGAGAGCCTTTTCTTTCTTTTTTCTTTGATTCTACTTCTGAACACATACAGATATATTATATGTAGTATTTATCATAGTGTATATTATAATGCAGTATAATATAACATATATAAGATACATGTAATATATATTATATCAAATGTATTAAACTAATATTACACACACACACATCCGCATTTATATACTTTTCTACTCGTCAGATTATTGCCTTATACTTTTCTACTGCCCCACCTACTTTTTATTTCTCCTCTCTCTCCTTTTCCTGGTAAAGTACATTTTCAAGATATCAATTAATTTTAATTAATTAACTTAAATTAATTAAGTTATGTAAATGTTATCAGTGTCTACATTTTAATATTTACATTTGTTAGCTGTCGTCGTGACTGAATCTAATGATAAATAAAACATGACACATACGAAATGAAAGACATCAGCTAAACAACTAGCTTGGTTCTTCTGAATGTCAGTGTCACAAAAGACAGGAAACAAAGCCATCTGGGGCTATTTCTAGATAAATGTAGTTTTAAAGGACACAACACCCTGATTAAATCCTGAGGAGCTGATAGCAAGGGCTCAATAGAAAGTAAATGTCTAGAAAAGAATGATGGCAACATATGTACACATATGCATGATACAAATGATGTATGAATTGTTATGAGTTGTATGAGCCCCCAATAAAATGATCTTTTAATAAAAAAAATTTTTTAAAGAAAAAAAAATCCTGGCTTAAAAAATGCATATTACTGAGGCAAGTGAAGAAATTTGAATACAGATTATATCCTCAATTACCTAACTGCTTCAATGTTAAATTCCCTCTCTGATAGGTATATCGTGATTTTGTAGGAAAATGCCTGTATTCGTAGGAGATACCTGTTGAAGTATTTAGGGATACAATGTCATGATGTCTGTATCCCTCAAATGGTACAGCCACTGTGTATCTCAATATAAACCTAACAACTTATTCAAAATTTATCTAAATGATTCACAAATTTAAATAGAAAACATAAAATAAAATTTTTAGTGAAAATTGTAGGCAAAATACTTTAGGATTTCAGGCTAAGCAAAGATTTTTTAGCCATAGTACTCAAACACAATCCATATAAAAAATAATAAATGATACTTAAGAAAAAATGGAAAAATGTGAGCTTTAGGAAAGAGCTATTAAGAGATGGTGGGTGAAAAGATAAGCTCTGGGCTGAAAAAATATTTTTAAAAGATTTACAAAAAATTTTCAAAATTATTTACAAAAACAGCTTTCAAGAGAGTTGTATCTGAAATATACAAAGAATCCTCAGTAAGAGTATTTTTAAATCTGAACTAAGAAAGTTAAAAGTAATTAATATTAAAAGGATTATGACTAATAAGCACAGGATAGAAGTTCAATAACAGCTTAACAATTGCAGCCCTGGACACTAAGTCTAGATTAGAGAAATATTTTAAAACTTGACGTAAAAGTTCAGACCAGCTTTATTAGCAATGGACAAAAGCTGGAAACACACCAGTGTTCTTCAGTGGATCAGTGGTTAAACAAACCATAGTGCATCCAAATGATAAAACCTTCTTGGCAATAAAAGGAAATAGACTATTTATGGCCTTAACAGCTTGGATATGTAGCAAGTGCATTAAGCTGAGTGGGAAAGAAAATCCAATCTCAAAAGATGATGTATGATCTGATTCCATTTATATAACAATCTAGAAATGACAAAATTATAAGGCATAGACCAGGGAGGGAAAATAGTCATTTTCAGGGATTAGGGTTACAAGATACACAGGGTGGTAGATATAAATCTATAGAAATTCAGAAAAAGAACTTTCTTGAGGATGCTGAGCTGTTCTATACCTTGTTTGTGGTGGTGTTTACATGGATCTACACATATTGATAAAATTTCTTAAAATTATATACAGTTGAGGAGCTGCGAAAACGAATGTGTCAGAAGACTAAATTTGTGATTTGAAAATTAGGTTATGTAATTGTCGTACAATATAATTCAGCTAATGAGCGTGATGTTTTCATAACATTTAATTAAAATGTATATATTAATATATATATTGAAAGCTATGAAAGTAAAGAATAAAAACAAAACAATTTTTTTCCTGAAATTAAAATTTTAGGCATTAGCACACCAGCCTATGCAACCACGAGGTGTCGAAGGGATCAGGTATAAGGCGTCATCAGAACAAAAAATCTTACCATAGTGAATGATGGGGGGAGTGCGGAGTGGAGATCCAAAGCCCATTAGTAGGCCACTGGAGATCCCCTTGCAGAGGGGTCTCAGAGAGGAGACGAGCCAGTCAGGGTGCGATGTAAGAACGATGAGAAATACAACTTTCCTCTCGCACCTAAATGTTTCCTCTCCGCTCCCATGACTCAAATTCAACCTTGCA